TTAAAGTATTTTTAATATTTCCGTATTTTTCATATTTAAAAAATGCAATCTTTATTCTCGGAATTAAAAATTATTAATAAAAAGTCATTCCTACTAAATAGTATATTGTCTATTTGGGGTTTTTGAAAAATTATGAATATTATATTAGTTATTCATATGCAATCTACTACGTCATTGTTTACTTAATAACTGTTTACTTTTTAGTATACATGTTTTACAACTCCACCCTTTAGGTAATCGATTAATATTATATGTTTAATTATATACGTTAACTTGTAATAAGTGTTCATGTTATACACGTCATAATCTTGGAAGAACATTATTCTGTTGAAAATGTGTATTCAAGGAAAACATTTTTTTTTGTTTCGAGTTCTATAAGAATAAACTGTCAAAATGATTCGCACTTACAGATAAGTCGATAATGATTGGATAATGTATTTATCAACTTAACAAGGGGTATTGTTGAGGTAATTCTTAAGAAAAAGTTATAAATAATATATTAAATGAAGTCATATAAAGTTTAATTAATTAATTTCATATTAATTAACTTAATTCACATAACATATCTACATAAAAGTAAATAAAAAGAGTAGTTGTTTGCTATCAAACAGTAACATCAATATGGTTAGAAATAAATTAAAAAAGTACACAACTTTATAATAATAAACCATACAAGTAAAACAACAGAATAAATACTTTCAATATTAGATGCTAGCTTAGGTAAGGTTGTTGTGAAGACCTTGTGTCAAAAGTCCACTTAAGTTAAAATAATGGCCCGTTGTAGCACCACGGTTTAGCGTTGTTTATACGCAGACTAAAGATAAGCGTACAAGCAAAGCCGAAAGGTACGACTCCCCATTTATATAAAATTGAACCAACCTGAAGATCTTAAAACTTGGCTAAGTCCCTAATTTTGCAGAATAATAACTCGATCAAGACTTTTCCAAGCCAATGATGGATACTGACACATGAAATCGAGCACAGTTTAATCCTCATCCACAAAACCATAACCATGACCACAATTATTGCAGAGTAAGCACATTTTTATATGAACAGGATTTTTTAGTATGGTATGACCGATACCGTAGTGCTGAGTAGATCAACTAGTAGTTTTTTGTCCAGTTTGGATCAGGTCAATGTTGAGATCTGATTCATTTACCCAATGCAATAGTAAGTATTCTCATTCTGGAATTTTTATTCTAGAATTCTGCTCTCCAATACGTTAGAAGTCTACTACAATTCAGAGAGATTATTTCTACTTGTCTTTCTGTTCATCAACGATAATGTTTGTACCTTGGCTATAGTGTCCCATTAGTTTTAAGATTCTTTCATTTACAATCCATTTACAATATCAATATATTTAATATTTATAATTGTGTTTATTGGTGGTAATGTTTGTATCTAGTACTTGCCACTCAATTGTCCACACTTCCTAGTTTGCAGTTCTCTCCAGAAATGTAAACGAAACTAGGTCGTTATGGAATAAAATTTACTAGTAAAGATGCGGTAAATGTCACTCATATTGTACTCATATAACTCTTCTAAAATATAGTTAAAATGTATATTTAAAGTTTGCAAATAGTTATATTTCAAATAAGTTTATACATCAAGATATGAGGCATTGCGATTTCACTACACCAATTCATGACCTGAATAGGTTTCGCTTTTGAACTGCATATTTTAGCTGTGAGTCCCACATCTTATTTTGTTCATTCAGACTGCTCTGTAACACGAACAAAACCTTAAATATATATAAACATTATGCATTTTGACATATCGTCAACATACTTTCCCATATATAAATTTCAATATCCAAAGGTGTATGAACTCTATTTGATATAAGTACTTTTTCCAGTTGTTTTGCGTTGAGAGCAGTTTTTAGACTTCTTAAATAGTTTTCAGCAATTATGCCTATTAAAAACTATTCTGTTTATGACGTTCAGACTTTAATTTTATTATTTTATCGATTACAAACCCATCGAATTACCGAATTACGTATGAAAGCCATTTAATATAGAATAATATGTAATATTACATCTCATTTCCTTTATAGTACATGTTAACTAGATTTTTTGATGAATTCGCAAAAATCCTGTGTAAATAATAATCGCTATAGCATTTCTTTTGTTTTTAGTAAGAAGTTATACTTTATAGATCATTTACTCAAACGATTTTGCATTTTTTTTAATTTTCATTTATACATTATTTGTGAACTTGCCTATATGTTAAACATATCATTTTTTCATAAAATTTTTGAAACATTTATATAATAGGTGCTGTTTCAGAATGGATAACTGCGCCCTCTAATATACCTAACTGCCCACCCGGTTTGGAATATTTAACAACTGTGGATCAACTATTGATAAATCAAAAAGTTGAACTTCTGGAGGCTTTTACAGGCTTCGAGACTAATAACAAATACGTTGTTAAAAATGCGATCGGTCAAAAAGCTTACTACGTTTTGGAGGATACCGATTGTTGTACTCGTAATTGTTGTGGTCCAGCACGTCCATTCGATATGAGAATTTTTGATAATTTTCAGAAAGAAGTAATTCATCTCTACCGACCATTAGCCTGTTCCGCATGTTGTTTTCCATGTTGTTTGCAGAGTATTGAAATTTCTGCCCCACCTGGTCAAGTAATCGGACGTGTAGAACAAGAATGGACACTTTGTTTACCATCTTTTCGAATAAAAGATGTTAATGATGAAACTGTATTACGTATTGAGGGCCCCTGTTGTGTATCTAGCTGCTGTAATGATGTAAACTTTAATGTAAGCAGAAGTAATAAATATAATTATTTTTAATAATAATCTATCATTTAACAATTATTAATTTTTGTAGGTTGTTTCCCTTGATGGTGACATTATTGGAAAAATCTCAAAGAAGTGGTCTGGATTTACTCGTGAATTTTTCACAGATGCTGATTTCTTTGGTATTAATTTTCCTATGGATTTGGATGTTCGTATTAAGGCAGTATTATTAGGAGCCACATTTCTAATAGTAATTAAAAAATAATTTATACTCTAATATTTTATATTAAATTAATTTCTTTTTTATAGGATATGATGTTCTTCGAACACACCAATTAATTTACTTGGGGATTTTTGTATGTTTATTTCTTGTTAATGTATTTTGAACATGTAGCCATGTTGTGTATTGTGTCCTAAATTCTTTAATATTATATAAATAAATATATGAATATATGTTAATGCCATTAATTTTACTCCAAAATTTATTGATGCACCAAGTTGACTACCTGAAAATCGTATACGGATTTAAAGATGAACACTTTGACGGTTAGTGAAGAGTCCGAAAGAAATAGACTAGTCGATATTTCTTTTAATTGGTTGATATTAAATTTCTTATAATTTTCCATATAAAAGTAATACTTAACCTTGTTCTCTTGTAAATTGGATTCAGCGTTCTCATGTAAACTGGCAACATTCCAAATCGGTTACTGTTATTTTAAGTATTTTGTCTTGATTTTTAACGACGAGACCTTAGACCAGCCTAACACCTTAAGACCCTGATTTTGAGGAACCTTAATAGTAACAAATTTTTCTATATGGTCTGTCTAAAAAAAAAACAATTGCTTCAAGTAGGTGGCAAGATGTTAGAGAACTTGCATTTACAAATAATAGGTTGTCAGTGTTTATCTCCAACTAGAGTTTCCTCTTTCTGGTCACCGTTACATTTAATTTCCACTCGGAGATGGTTTATAAGACATCTTTTTAGTAATCTAGTCCAAACTCAGTCTAGTAGATGGGTTAAGCATAGGGATATAATCGGAGAAAAATCTAGAGACTGCAGTTCTTCGATTGTACAGTTATGTGATTGATAGCTATAATTTAATATGCTTACTTGGGGAGAACCTCTAAGCATAAAATCGGTATCATGGTATGAACGGGAATCAAAAAAAACGTTGCAGTATTACTAGGAAACTAATTTTAAGTACTAATTTGGAGGATGCATGGAACAATTACAAAACCAAACAAAAGGCTTATTTGCACATCGAAGAATGCCTGTTTTAAAAACTTGTCTAAAAGTGTACAGAATCTTTAAGAAAGTAGTATGTTAGTCAAGAGGCTTAAACTACATATAAATGTTGTTTTGGATAATCTTAAGAAACCTAACCGTAGGTTTAAGGCAACTGAAAAAACCGTGAGTATCTTTCTGGATTGAAACTATCCTATTAACCAGGTAACAATAGGATTTCAGTTAGTTTGAAAAACTGAAGAATATACGATAGTCTAGTATAATAAAAAATGAACTCATTTGATAACTTTGAATTTCTTGACTGAATTAATATAATATATATTGTACGTAAAAATTCAAAATATAACTCTATCAAAATTGTCTTAACTCTGAAACTGCTTTCCAGAAACCGGTGGACAGAACTAAATATGATTTTGCCTGAAAAATTCATTACAGGGCTGTTTGTCAATATTAAAAGAGTGTTTGGCAGCATAACTTTTGATGGTATCTGCAAATCATTTGCTGGGTGAACCGGGGACAGAAAGCATTTTTTTAGCTAAACACTGAACTATTGAACTGTCAAATTGATTCTCACTTCGAGAACGATCGGAGGACGCATTTGTCAATCTTAACAAAGGACGTCGATTGATCTAATTACCAATTAATTGTTATTTACAAGCATTATACTTTACTTGAAGAAAAGGTCCAGAAGTGTAAGTTTTATGACTTCATTAGTAACATTATCTGATTTTGAAGGATTTGAATTAACCATGTTTGAATGATTACTGCTTACATTAATCGCTGTAGTTTTGTTTTGTATTTTTAATAAGAGCTTATATTCTTATTATTAGTTTATACTCATATGATTTATTTATATAGTCTATTTATAGTTTATATACTCGTATACAAAATTAATATAATTTTCTATAAAAACTTTGAAATTCTTACAATATAGGTACTGCTTCCGAATGGGTAACTGTGCCCAATAACATACCAAACTGTCCACCCGGTTTGGAATATTTAACAACTGTGGATCAACTATTGATAAATCAAAAAGTTGAACTTCTAGAGGCTTTTACAGGTTTCGAGACTAATAACAAATACGTTGTAAACAATGTGGTCGATCAAAAAGTTTATTACGTTTTGGAGGATACCGATTGTTGTACTCGTAATTGTTGGGGTCCAGCACGTCCATTTGACATGAGAATATTCGACAACTATCAAAAAGAAGTAATTCATCTCTACCGACCATTTAGCTTACCATGTAGCTTTTTTTCATGTTGTTTGCAAAGCATTGAAGTTACTGCCCCTCCTGGTCAAATAATTGGACGTGTAGAACAAGAATGGACACTTTGTTTACCATATTTTAGAATTAAAGATGCTAATGATGAAACTGTATTACGTATTGAAGGTCCGTGTTGTTTGGCCAACTGTTGTAATGATGTTAACTTTAATGTAAGTAAGAGTAATAAATATAATTTATTGTATTAAATACCAATTATTCAATATTTATTATATTATTAGATTGTTTGTCTTGATGGTGAAGTTATTGGTAAAATCTCAAAGTGGTCTGGTTTCAGTCGCGAATGTTTCACAGATGCTGATTTCTTTGGTATTAATTTTCCTATGGATTTGGATGTTCGTATTAAGGCAGTATTATTAGGAGCCACATTTCTAATAGTAATTTAATTTTAATTTACCATAAAAAATTATTTAATAAATTAATTTCTTTTTTATAGGATATGATGTTTTTCGAACACAATTGAAAAATTAAGTATGTGTATTTCCTGTTAATGTATTTTGAACATCTTTAATATTGTATATTATGTTCTAAATTTATTGAGAAAATATTCGAAATATTAGAATATATAAATTCATATTAATAAATTAATAAAAAATATTTTAATATATGCAGATATATGTTTATTTAAGTATTAAAATACAGAAAACCCTGTTATGCCCAATACTTCCTTCACAAGGCTTACGATTAAGTTTAAGCGAGTAAGTAAGCAACTGGAACGGATGTCCTAAAAAGAATTAAAACACAACAATCATCAACAGTCACAGCCACAACAACCTGGCCACTGAAGAGTTTTGTCATAAGAAAATGAATGGAGATTTTATGGTATGCTTTCAGATGACATTAATATTAGATTTGGAGGAGTTTAAGGTATATTTAAGTTAATCGGTATATTGTATCGTTCTCGGGGAATCTCAAAAACTCGTCTTTTCTAGAACCCTTTAATAGTGTGTGATTTATTTTCAACATCGCAAAGTTAAATCTCAAACAGTGGTGCGTTAGGGAACTCACAAGGCAGTAGCTATGACAGTACATTTATAAGCACATACTCTTGCAATATATCTTTAGTTATAGGAATGTTATAAACATCCGTTATGATATTAATCCACTCACGCCACTTTATGTTTATGTATAACATCATAATATGCCGATTTTGCTAAATAGTCGAAATACTTCGTACTGTCTTCGTCTTTTGTTCATAAGTTAAAATTTCAAAATAATAAATAAATAAAAGAAAAACTAGAAGTCTATATCAATTGCATTCAACAATTCTGTATGCTTTAAAGAAGGGCTTCTGTATTGTTGTTGTTGTTATTGTTAGTTAATCTTACAATCAAATATTGAAGGCACAAAAAAAATATAAACAAATAAACTATACTGCATGTTACTCCATATATTTTCAAATATTTTACAGGGTCAATCAATTATAGAATAAAATAAAACGCTAAGAACTGGAACTAACTGGATGTGCTTCATTTGTCGTTAAATTCATATTTTTGTAGATTTTCCAATTATTATTTGTTATTATTCAACAAATTATTAAAGGAAGAGTAAAAAGTTTACATTAATGTAATAAAGTACTTTTTTATGACTCCGTGAGGGTATACGGGTTACTACAAAACTCTCCAACAAAAGGTAGAACGCACTCTCCCTTATATTTCACTAAAACTAAATTTTTTAAATACAATATTATACATAATTTAATTGTTCTGGAGTGTTTTAGTAAGAGATATGTTATATATCTATCTTTAACTTAATTCAATAATGTATAAACATAGTACACATAAACAAACAAAGATATCCATTAATTAAAGATACTTTGAATCATATATGCAAATGATTAAATCGTTGCAAGTTTTTATTAATTTAATTACCTATTGGATCAAATGGATCAAAAAATTGAAAAAAAATAACGAAGTAGATGACGGGGTAGCTCTTAAAATTTTAATTTAGGAGTAATAATTAAGTTTTACTATAAACATCTAAAGGTCTATGCTATATCATTAAGGGTCATTTGGGCTGTTTGGGCATGACTAAAAAGAGCGTAAAATTGCCATGACTATTCATAATATGACTGCCTGTGTATAACATGTTCCTAAGTATATCTGCATAATATCTAATATGGTAATAGGAAATAAAATATGAAATGTTATTGTGGTGCATTAAACTGATAATTCTGTTTGTCTCAATTTGATACTTTTTGACTATTTGGTATAATATAATATTATTTATGATCATAGTTTATCAGTGCGCATGTGTGATCTCAAGTGGACTCAAGTGCTTGAGCTCATACGTGGACACAAATCTCCTATAAAATAAAATGATATCTTTGAAAGTAAGTTAATAATTCTTAATGTAATAGGAATATTGTAAGAATAACTTAGTATATAAGAAGAAATAATAATAAAAACGAAGTCAATTGTAAAACTAATCTTCAAGTGTTTATTTAATCAATCTCATAAATACCACTGCACAAATGTAAATTGATGAGGTTTTGAGATATGTGATAAAAGATTTCATGTAAAACAGAAACATATATTACGAAATATATTGAGAAGTAATAATTTTCCAACAAATCAGAAACCAAAAAAAAGTTAAAATAATCAATTCCATGTCGTATGCTTCAAAATGATTATCTTTAATAGACAATTCCAATATATCTCATGAGGAGGAGTTTAAAATAATACAGAAATAGAATCTTACCATGAAAAGGAATTAAATATGTACTGAAAAAATATTTTCCTTTATAAAATTGCTCACTGATGAAACTTACATCATGTCACCCTGTATTTTTGCGCTAAGCCCAAATGATCTTACATGTTCAACTAGAAGCGCAGATCATTTGTTGTAGAAGTTTCATTGATTGAACAGAACGCGAGACATTCGGAAGGATTTTGT